CCTTGGTCAACTGTTCTTTTCGTGCAATGGTGGCTTGATGCTTCTTCTCCTTTTCTGCCTGCTTTCTCTTGAGCTCTGCCAAGCGATGCTGTTGGATAGCGACCCGTCTGTCCTTGAACTGCTGACGCGCTGATGGAGCTGTTTGCCTAGCCACTTCAATCAGGTTGGACTGCTCAGCTGGTGAAAGAGACTGAAGCCATGAAGCGGTCTCGTTGTTGTTGAACAGAATCATACCTTCCAGAGCAACAGTGTCAGCATTAGGCTTCTCGCGAAGCAAACGGTCCAATTGTGCGAAGTCACGCTCACTGACAGCATTGGTCTTGCGAACCGAAGCAGTCTCAACAGCTAGGCCCGGTGCACTGTGGTACTTCCCACCCGGTAAGTGGTCCACGAGGAGACGTGCTGAGAATGAAGATAGCGTCGAGCAGAGGTAAGCGAGGATCTCCAACGTGATAGCATCATACTTCTCCGACGGCTCCACGAGAGCTGTGAATACATCGCACAGTGTGGATACCTTTGCATTGGGAAATGGCCGTGCGCTGCCGTCAAGGAGGTCGCTTGCATCTTTCGCCCAGTCGTCAAACTTGCTACTCAATGCAGTGTAGTACTTGCCAACCTCAAGCACAGAAACATCCGGATCTTCCAGCAGACACCAGAGTGGGTTGATCACAAGCTTGGACAAGATACCAAGTGCTCGAGCACCTGCAATCAACTCTGTCTCACCCAGATCTTCTTTAACAGCACGCAAAAGTTGATTGTCTCGTACACTGACGTCAACCAAAAAATGCAGCATTTTGTTGTGGAGATAATAAATACCTGCACCATTGTGGAATACAACGTAAGATCTATTTCCCCTGTACTCATCAAGAGGCAATGGTGTGTTTGTCTCAGACAGGAAAGCATGAAAGTCCGCTACGCACCCCGCTGCTTCATCACCATGCTTTTCAAAGGCTTTAGTGGTACTGTAAATAAGCCGTGCTGTGTTCCCTGTCCCCTGCCATGTCCCAGGAAGTCGCTCAGCACCAACCTTCACACCCTCACCAAAATGAGCCCTTTCCCAAACCTTTAACGCAGCTGTGCAACTATCAGCCAAGCCGACAATGTAATGCATGCCACAATAAAAACAATTTATGCGGCTCATAGACGTGCGTTCCTCCTCACTGAACCCTTCCCACCCGTCAATAATGTCTGGCAATATCTCCTTGCGATAATCTTCCACTAGCTTGTTAAAACTCTTCTGCACAATGCACCTATCGCTCATGGTGTTCTTCATGTTAGCCAGGAGTTTACTGGCAATGTTTGCATGCCCAGCCGTTGCTGCCACATCCTCAATATCGCCCAAGACTTGTTTAAATGTGTCGAACACATGCTGAGCTGTCCCGCTTTTCATTTCGACCATGCCCAAACTAAACACTTTGTCAGGAGTGGCCATTTGATAGCCCTGATAGGAAACACCCTGCTTTGATGTTCCATCACAGTGTCCAGTAGTGAACTGCTCATTTGCCAAAGAGCTTGCAACATGCAATTGTGACACCTGTCTGAGCTCAACCAACATTTGTGAAAGGGTAGCTGCACTAGGGACCTCCGAAATCTCAGCACCTGCCAGGGTCAATACAGAACGGATTACAGGACCCACATTCCAAACACCTACGTTCTTTCCTAGGAGCTCATAACAACATTGGCGGACTTCTGTGGTGTACTTTCCATCGACTTTGGAAGTGATGTGCTGCCGTGCATTGCCTACAGTTCTTTCTAGCTCCAGCTGACAAGACAGGTCCTTGACCAATTCACTGAGCTCCTTCTCCCTCTGCATGCTAACTCCAAGCTCTGCACCTAAATCACTTAGAGATGAGGTGGTGCTAGCTGACTTTGTCTTTGCATAGTTTGTCCTGCAATAAACATTATTTAGCTTGCGCTGAAGGCGCTCAACACTCTCTAAAGCACCACTCAATTCTTCTTCCACCACTTTCCTTTCCTCATCACAAACATGCACCTTTTCTTCAAGATCGTTAATTTTCTCATTTCGTCTTCGCAATTTTTTCCCAATGTTACGAACCTTGTCATGTGATGCAGACAACCGGCCCTGCATTTCAACCATTTCAATTTCAATATCTGATCCGACTGCGTCGACATTGCCCACCGTAAAAACCTCGTCTGACATTTTACTACAATTTACATCACTACCTGTGCTGCTACTCCTAGTTTTATTATCTCCACAAACAGCTGCAGTGCTCTCAGATTTTGATTCTGGGACAGAAAATTCTTCACAAATTAGGTGTGACAGAGCTTCATGACGGGAAGCCTTTAGCAACTTAGCTCTTGCTGCTTGGAGACGCCTGACTTTGGAAGTGAGGGCCTTCACGGAGCATGGTACTTCAACATCCATGATCGTTGATAGCCAAGTGTGGATGGCTGACCAGGCTAAGCCCTCATCATTCATGAAATGGGTGAGCTCCAGAACAAGGCCATTCGTCACAGTCGACGTCTGGTCAAACTCCTC